AGCCATGTGCTTTTTAAAAAATAGTTTCTTGCCTTTCTAAAGGTCTGACTTCTTCAAGCCTGTGCTAGAAACGGCCCTCACTGTCAGGGGAAGCCTTGGCAGACACGTGCTATTGGCTCCTGGATTTTCCAAAGGGGAAACTGGAAATTCCAGTCATTCTGTTTCCAGCTGTCTTTAGAAATTTATTTCTTGGACTTTAATATTGTTGGAAATCATCTGAGACCAGAAAAGCAGAGTTGGGAAATTAATTAAGGAGAAACCAAGTGAAAACATAACGGTGATATTATCTGTTAACACCTATCCACAACATTCTCTTGAGATCACCTTAGTATATGAACCTGTGATGTCTCTAAGACTCTTGACTTTGAACTTGAACAATAAAATTCAGTCTAATTATTAAGGAAGATTAAGTTTAATTAAATCTACTGCCTAACGATGATCATACTGTTTACTCAATCAGTTAATAAGTGCTCAAGAGCAGTTTACTGAGCATGTGCCGTCTTTCAGATGCTGTGCTAGGTGTGCAACCCACAAAGTTGGGTAAGGCTTGTACTGTGCTCTCAGAGAGCTCATGATTCCCAGGGGGAGCTAGGCCTGCCAGCCAGGAGTCCCAAGGGCACGTGGAAAGCCCAATGCAGCAGTATAGAAAGAAATGGAATGCAGTGTGATTTTAGTTAGCATGTCTTTTTTTCCTTTATGATGTAAGAATATTTTTACTCAGTATTTTTAATGCTACTTAGAAGTTGTCCCTGGATTTTTTTTCCCCCCATCAATGATGAAGGATAACAACATTAGGCAGGTACATTGAGGAGGCAATATTCCCTAAATGCTGCCCTTTCTTCTTGGATTCTGCTGTGACTATTCATGGGGGCATGGGACCTGTCACCTGAAGATGGCTTGGTTATCTTTTTTCTCTATGCTTCGTCACAGTTTTAAAATGCTTTTTGGGGGGAAACTATAAATAGTAAATATTTAGCAACTTGGATTAGTATTTCTCTATTTTTTTCTTATCCCATTATGTAGCATATTTGCTAAATTCTGAGAATCCTCACTGCCAGTGTTATCCAGGGAAAATGTGGCTGGGGAGTATGGAGACAGGCTCTACTGTCGGTGAAACTTAACTCTTCTAAGTGTGTTAATCATGGTCTCAGCCAAATTGTACTGCTCTTTTTATGTTAAGATCACAAGCCCTAAAGTCAGACTCACCTTATGTAAATGTCAGTTGTCACCTAGAGGGGATACATAGAAAGATATTTATGTAGCAGCTACTTTGCACATGTACCTAAGCAGTGAAACATTGTTCCCCCTGTTGTGGGATGGTTGCTGCAGGATGAGTTGTTGATCTGTTGTTGTTCTCACATCTTAAGATGTGTCACTGTCTTCATGGTATCAAAAGGAAAACTTGAGACGAAGTGACTTTAGCAGAGCTTATTTGAGCAAAGAAATATTTGACGAACCAGGCATGGTGATGTGTGCCCATAATTCAACTACTTGCGAGACTGAGGCAGAGGGCTTGTGAGTTCAAGGCCAGCCTGGGCAACATAACCAGACCCCACCTCAAGGAAAAGAAAAATAGAAAAGAGAGAGGTTTCCTGAGTCCATCAGCAGTCCAGACATAAAATGGCTCAGTAGACACCACCTCACCACATACACAAGCTTTATCTATCACCAGAGAACAGGAAATGACATACAGAAGTGACCTGCTTGGCTGCAGTTGTGGTTTGCCTTATATGGTCAAATCTCGGCAGCTTTTAGCCTCTGATTGGCTTTTGGTTCAGCTGCTATGAGACTTGGCACGTTGTTGTAAGAGTGTACTTCCAGGTCTGGTTATGCATCAAATTAGGTTACAGTTCACAGCATATGGAGAAACCTTTAGGACAAACATGAAATATATATGGAGACAGCTTCAGGCAAAACAATTCAAATTCCATTTAACAGTGGTAAGACACTCTTTTAGAAATGCTGTTGTTAATTCCAATATTTTTTTTTTTATGAAATCATGTTCACTAAAGCCAATTTTATGTACTGGATTTGTTTCTGTGGTTCCCAGTATCATGTACTCGCCTAACAAATCACCAGGGGAGACCCCAGGCTACCTCTTACATCTAGCTAATTGACGGTAGTTGACATTTTGCCAGGTTATTGCAATATAATTAATTCTGTATGCCTTTCCCCCACCTTTAGTGAACTTAACAACTTGCTCACAAAGAAAAAAGTACATATAAATACACACTTGAGAATCTTCTAATGATATATTCGAGGTATAGCATTCCTTTTTCATAACATATCCCAATGCATGATAGAAAACATGTTTAAAATTAACAGATCAATAACCATGGTAAAAAGAGGTAGCTTTCTTAGAGAAAATATGCACAGCATCTGAAAGGGAAATGAGTACAGATTTGAAGGGCACAGAAGTAACCCAAGGCACACAGAGTACTTTAGTCAGCTTTTTTCACAGCTGTAACTAAAAGGACCCAACCAGAACAGCTGTAGAGGAGGAAAGGTTTATTTAGGGGCCCTTGGTTTCACAGGTCTCAGTCCATAGATAGCAGGCTCCATTCCTTGGGCTTGAAGTGAGGCAGATCATCATGGCAGAAGAGTGTGGTGGAGGGAAGCAGCTCACATGATGATCAGAAAGCAGAGAGAGAGAAAGACTCCACTCTCAAGATACAAAATATATACCCATAGCCATGCTCCCAAGGTCCAACTCCTCCAGCCACACCCTACCCACCTTTAGTTACCACTCAGTTAATCCCTCTCTGGGGATTAATTCACTGATTAGATTGAGACTCTTACAACCCAATCATTTCTTCTCTGAACCTTCTTGCATTGTCTCCCACGTGAGCTTTTGGAGGACACCTTACATCCAAACCATAACATTCTAATCCTGGCCTCCAAAAGCTCACACTCATCTGACCATGCAGAATATATTTAGTCTATTCCCAAGAGTATCCATAGCCTCCACAGTTCCTAGATTGCTCAAAGTTCAAGTCCAAAGTCTTCTCTGAAGCTCAAGGCAATCTCGCATCATGAGCTCACGTAAAATCAAAAGCAATTTACAAGTATCCAGTATATAAAAGTACAGAATAAACATTTCCATTCACAAAAATAGGGGCATGGAAAAAAGGGATGGGACCAAAGCAAGACTGAAATCCAGCTGTTCAAGCAAGTCCTGCAGTTCTGTGTTTGGCATCTGGAGCACTTTGCATGATGTCCTCTCCGAAGGGCTTGTGTAGCTTTGCCCCTGTGGCCCTGTTGGTTGCAGCCCACGTGGCCTCTCTGTTGGCTTGTCTCTGTGTAATTCCTGCAGCTTTCCTAGGATGATGTCCCACATTATTGGCATTTCTTAATCTCTGGAGTCTCCACTGCAGCTTTGGCTACCTCACATCTCCACAGCTTGCCTTCTCAGGGAGTGCCTGCAGGGAATTCAACACTGCTGCCCTTTGCCTGGCTTCCAAGGCCTTCCTTTGAAATCTTGGTGGAAGCCTCCATGATCCCCTAACTCCAGTGTCCACAGTCCTGAAGAACCAGTATCATGTAGTTGATGCCAAGCTCTGCCGCCATCTTGATCAATAGCTGTGCTTCTGGGGACCCTGGCTGCAGCAGCCTCTGATTGTCTGGGTAGCTGAGCATGTTGAAAAAACTTCCTAGGCCCCCTTATTCAAGGATTTCACGCTGGTCTCTTCTCAAGAGAATTTCCACTTTTATTCCCTTGAGCCTGAGATGGGTGTGGTCTGGCCAGCTCCTGAGATGCCTTATTGTCTCTGGCCAAAGTCTTTAGCATTTATTTAGTGGCAGTAATGTCATTAACAACTGCAGCTTCCTTGGCCCCAGTTTTACTCCTGCCTTTCAAGTTTAAGTTTTTCAAATATTTCTGCTCTGCTTTCTGCTCCTGAATATCAAAATAAATTTGGCTAAAAGCAATATCTAGACCACTGCCTGAATGCTATGCTGTCTAGAAATTTCTTCCACCAGATTAAGAAGTTCATTGCTTTTAAAATGAGCCTCACAGAAAGTCTCAGGACTTGAGCAAAATGCAGACAGCTTCTCAGCTAGAACATAGCACAAATGGTCTCTAGTATAATTACTAATAGTATATTCTTTTTCTTCTAAACCCTCTTAAGCCCTGTCTTTATTGTCCAGAGTCCTATTGGCATTCTGGTCTTCTGAGCTTCTACCAGAATCAGCCATTAAGCTCCGCTTACCATAACAAAGCATTTTCAGCTTGCACTGCTAAACATCTCAAAATTCCTCCCACCAATTCCCAAAAGCTCAAAATTCTCATGAACCACAAGTTCAGTTTAGTCACAGCAGTGACCCCACTTCTTGGTGCCAATTTCTGTTTTAGTCAGCATTTTCACTGCTGTGATGGCCTTTTCAGGCCATTCCCTGAGAAGCCAAAGATGCCAGGCAAAGGCGGGAGCACACACCCTATAGACAGAGCTCCCCCTGAAGAGGTCAGCACAGTGAGGTTTCCAGTTCATTGCTGCAGATTTGCTTTGCACAGACCCTGGCTTCCTGCAGGTAACTCTGACTTGAGCACCTGGCATACAGTCCACCTATCTTGTCCCCCACAGGTTCTGTGCAGGGAGGGGCACTGTGAGAACTACTAACCACAGTCAAGGTCTGGGCATGGAATTAATGCTGCCTGTGTGGCTGTGTCCCTAAAGGCCACAAACATCAAGTGCAGTTTCCAGTAGTCTTGGGTTAGTGGTGCACCCTGACCCCTGGCTGAACACGAAGATGTGTGATGTGAGGGAATTTCAGGGCTGAGGGACCAGTTCTGTATCTTCATTATGGTCGAGAGCACACATGGCTGTATGCCTTTGTCAAGGGACTTTGAAAACGATTTAAATCAACTCTCAGGAAGGTCACTGTGTGCATCATACTCCAACAGAAATATTAAGAAGTTAAAAACTTAAGAGTGATGATTATCCTGCATCCTAATGTTTTTTGAGCTCCTGTTTCTTCACTCCATTTCACCTGCATATTTATTAACCCTAATGTGGCTTCCCCCCTTGGCAGGCGACTGTGACGCTCCGCTGGGATCCGCCTTGCCTCCGTCCTCCTTCAGCAGCTCCGCGGAGCTGTCCAGCAGCCACGGCCCTGGGTTCGCCAGGCTTAATCGGAGAGACGGTGAGTCTGCTTCTTCCTTCTTGCTGATCCTTGGTGAATCTCATTGGGTTTTCACTTAATAAAATAATTGCAATTGATTGATGCTTTATAGAAGGAAATAAAATTCCAAATAAGCACGTTTGCTCTCATTGGACTCTGAGGATTTATTTTGCAAGAATTAACTGGCCCCTGGGCAGCTGGTGTGTCTGAACCTCTGGGTCCAATCTTCACAGCTTTGGAACAAGTCACACACACCTGGCTTTGACAGTGTTTGATCTTCCGGTAAAATCGTTTTGGTATTTAAGTGTGTGCTGAAGGCTTTAGCATCTGCTGTGTCCTGTTATCTATCCTGAGTTGTTTCGTTCCTCCTTTCTTGTGTACATTGCCCCAGATTGCTTAATTAGCCCTATTTAGATTGAAAAAAAAATGGCAGATTAAAGAAGCATTTTCAAAAGATTTTTATTGTTTTAACTAGAACTCCCAGTTTGCTTCTCATGATGGCCCTCTGGATTTTCTCTTTAGCATTCACTGAGGAGAAAGAGCATTTAATGGTTTATTCGTGTTCCATTGTGAGTTTCCATTGATATCTACAGACATTTCTTGAGAGGAGCATGTTTTCCGTTACATGGGTTTAAACAGAGGTGTAGGGAACTGAGTGCTAACTTGCCGTGTGGTACAGTTTGGGTAAGTGTCCATGACTTGGTCCCTTGGTGACCCCACTGGGAGGTGGTGGCACTTTAAGTGATAGGACATAGTGGGTAGAAGTGAGGTCACTGGAGGTATGACCTCAAAGGAGTTATTGGGACCCCTAGCTCCTTTTTGTTTCTCTTAGCTTCCTGGTCAACATGAAGTGAGGATTTCTCCACCATGTGCTCCAGCCATGTTTTGTTACCTCACCACAGTCGAAAGGCAGTGGGGCCAGGTGACCATGGACTGAAATCTCTGAAATTGTGAGCCAAACATTTCCTCTTTCTAAGCTGATTATTTCAGGTACTCTGTTATAGTAATGGAAAGCTGACTTACACACTATATCAAAATAGGGAATTTAAGAAACCTTATACATAGTGATGAGGCACCATCTGGCATTTTTAAAGCAAAAACTAAGGTAAACATTCTTTGAATAAATTCTCAGGAAATTGAATTCACAGTATTGACAAAAAATATTTGTAGGCATGTATGAAAAGACTCAAAAAGTGCACTATAAATACCATGCGTCCTTATTTCCTTATTGCCTTCTTTCTTGTTGTTTGTTCTTACTGTTTTTTTTTTTCTTGCTGCTTTTCTTGGTGTTTTCAATATCTGAGCACATTTAGTAAGTTGCACTTTGGACCAAATTAATGTATTATTTCCTTTGTTATGGACAATATGGTTATCAGAATGAATGAACTCACTTCATTTTGCTGAAATGCACTTATGTGAACACAGTTGCAAATATGCAAATAGACTGCATGAATTCTAAACTAATACATAAACAAATATGTTGGCTGAAATACCATGAAGTCTGCTATTTCATTCATTTGCTAAGATCTGGTTCTTTTACTCCAGATGATGTTCCTGCAGAGCCTAAGTGAATGTGGCCAACATCACTGGAGTAGTGATTGATACTGGGCACAAAGGATAAAAGAAAACAAAGGTCATCTCAAGCCATAGCTCTTTTTAATGGCAAATCACATTTTATGTTAGGATAGGACTGTGAGGATTCTCCATCATCATTTTTATTCTTAGTTCATGTTCTTGCAACTCGTATAGTGCAAAGGCATGATATCAATTTTAATAAAATTTATTTTCATGTGAATGAAAGAAAAATGGTTCCATTTTATCATTTTAATTAACTGCCAGCTGAGGTGTTTATAAATTCATTGTTGTGATTGTTGTGGGTTTTTATTTTTTTTTGTTGTTGTTTGTTTTGACTTTTCCTCCTCCCTATAAGAAATTCCAAATTGTGAGTGATACATGGAAGGCTGTAGATTATCTCTGGTGTTTTAAGATCCTTTATCAGATTTAGAGTGATTTATGAAGAGCAACTTAACCAGTCTTCTGATCATAAAGAGTTAAAGCAAAATACAATTGACTCTGGGTCACAGATATTACAGCCTTTCTCCAGAGGAGTGCTGAGATCTCAGAGCCACATTCAACAGTCAGGAAACAAATGCTCTTCAGTCAGACAGCCCAGTACTTGGAACCTCTAGGATGGGAAATTCCATGAACACATCTCTGGTCATTGCGAAAACCCCGGTGTGAGGGATGAGAGGGGAAGGTGACTGTGTAGTCAGTGAATTACGTCTGACCCGGTTTAATTCCGTCTGACCCTCCAAAGATTGCTTTTTTGGAAGTGTCTTCATTTATGCCTCTGGGAAAGTAATAAACAAACTAAACCAGTTCTTCTGTTTCACTAAATGAAGAACCCCTGAGCCACAAAGTTAATGTACTTATCAAACCAAGTTATTCTCTGCCCCCACCCTTTTTTAATGGGGAAACACTCCAATTTTACATCAGACATTTCATAAACTATGAAACATAATCCAAAGTTACTTTCCACTTATAAAAATTCATTACCATACTGGTCAGATTAGAATGTAATTAATCAAATATATTTTTGCTTTCTACATTTTCATAGTTGAAATTTTAATATGCTTGAATTTTAGTGTGTTAATGAATACAATGAACACAGTTTTTTAAATTGACATGTAATGACTTTACAGATTTATGTGGTACAATGTGATAATCCAATGCATATAAACAATTTTTAATGGTTAAATCAGGATAATTGATATTTCCATCTCCTTAAATATATATCATTTCTTGGAGCTAGACTCTTCAAACTCCTCTCTTTTAATTCTTTGTAAATCACATAATAAATTGTTCTAAACTAGAGACCAACTACTGAAGATGCACATTTTAAAAACCCAAATCTGTATGCAGCAGGCCCGGTGATAGCACTTACAGGTTGACGTGGGGTCTCAGAGCAGGAGCTAATGATCACGTGTGCCTGGGACCAACAGACCCTTGAAGTGACAGCACAAGGTGCCTTAATGAAATGTTTCCCCCTGCACTAGGGGAATCTGAAAATGCATTTTTGTAACCTATAATTATGCATTTGCAACAAGGAGAATTTGAAGAAGTAGAAAGAATTAGAGTTTGGAGTACAATAACAGCACATCATTGCTCCCAGAAGCAACAAATGCTCTTTTTTAAACCTCTTCCATCTGCTCCAAAATTTCCATCTATTGCTAAAAGAGGCAATATTGTGATTTCTTGCTGACGCATCTTGTTTTATTTTCTACTACTGAATCTTTGCATAGCCTGGAATCCCTTTTAATGTTAAGATGAAACTCTGCTACAAATGACAAGTAGAAAGTTAGCTAAGATCTATTATTGATGAAGAGGGCTTAAGGCCTCAGGGTTAGGGCACGTCCCTAGCATGCTCACAGCCTTGGGTTCAGTCTCCAGCACCCAAAAAAGAAAAAAAAAACAGAAATAAAATGATTCTGATTCTTGAATAAACCATAAAAAGGGCTAATCTTAAAATTTAGTGAGTATTTTTTTGGGAAGTGTTTTAGTGTCCTAAAATAACCCACTCTTGGAGGGGGGGTGTGTACCAGGGATTGAACTCAGGGGCACTCAACCACTGAGCCACATCCTCAGCCCCAATTTGTATTTTATTTAGAGATAGGATCTCACTGAGCTGCTTAGTGCCTCACCATTGCTGAGGCTGGCTTTGAACTAGCGATCCTCCTGTCTCAGCCTCCTGAACTGCTGGGATTACAGCGTGCATCACCATGCCCACCTAACCCACTGTTCTGTGACCTTAGTGTGTAATGGTCACTTCTCACATGCTTCTGATGATGGCATGGTGCCTATGGGTCAGGTCCTAAGAAGTAGAGGACTAATGGACTTTTCTTGATAAATATTTTCTGCAGCTTAATCTATGTTGTAAAAATATTCAAAAATCAGTCCTTATGTATTTAGCTACCTGGTAGTTTCCCATTACTGGAGAGTGCTTTTAAATAATTAGGAAAAATATACAGAATTGTGATAATTATATCAAAGCTGACATCAATTAATTGCCAAAAAAGGGGGGGGGGTAATAAGAGCTGATTCCTTGTGCTTCAGGGGAGATTTCAAAGTTTGGTGCTAGACTTTTGTTGGAGTGAGCCCAGGAGAGAGGTGATGGGGGAGGTCCTAGTTACCCATCCCCACAAGAAGCCCCATGTGCTGTGAGCATGTGCTGTGGGTCATTGGGGGCTGAGCAGGGGTCCATCCTACAAGGAAAAGGGGGGACAAGTCAGGAAGCTCAAGCAGGTCTAGGGCAACCTTATATGCCACAGATGGCAAGGAGAACGGGGACTTAACTCAAGGCCTATACGGGTGCCTGCAGCTCAGCCTCAGCTCTGAACCAGGAAGCTCTTGCTATAAAGGTCAACAGAGCTCTTCTGCAGCTTGAATCCCTGATACACTCATAGCATAAGGCGACCCCATGTCTGCAAATGTTCTCTGGCTCCACCACCCTCTTGCCCAACCACAATGAGCTCCTGAGAACTCTCGGGCCAGTGTCACATGGATGTCCAGTGCATGGCCAATCCCTGCATAAGATCCCATTGACTCCTGTCTCTGTACTGGATGGAAGGAAGAGCAGCACACCCGGGTACAGTGCCCAGCTCCCTCATGGCATCCTCCTAATCCTTTCCAATCATCATGGACCTCTGGGTTTCCCAGGTCCACATCTGTGAGCCTTCAGGGGTACCCACCTCACTTTCAAGATTAGAGTTAGTACTACTTCTCATTAGGACCTCAGCTGAAGATGAGTCGGGAAGGGTCCTCTGCTAGGGTCCTGTCACACATGGAGGCAGGTCCTGGGGAGCTGCAGGGGCCACATCAGTAGATAACAAGGAATTACTTAGCCTGCCTGTTGGCACTTTACCCATCAGCAGGTATAGAGACAAGCAATGCATGTCTGGTTTTCCCTCTCCTGAAAGTCAAAGACTGCGTGAGAAATTAAATTTGTGCCAAGTATGGGGCAG